TTTCTTTTCTCGTTCTTGTTTATTTTCTTTCTCCTCTAACAACTGCTGTAATTTCTCTTGTTTATTTTGCTGTTCGAGCTGCCATTGTTGTAGGTTTTCTTGCCACTGCTCTAATCTTTCTTCTTGTTTCTTTTCTTTGTCCTCTAACAACTGTTGTAATCTCTCTTCTTGTTTCTTTTTTCGTTGTTCTTGTTTATTTTCTTTCTCCTCTAACAACTGCTGCAATTTCTCTTGTTTACTTTCTTTTTCCTCCAACAACTGCTGTAATCTCTCTTGTTTATTTTGCTGTTCGAGCTGCCATTGTTGTAGGTTTTCTTGCCACTGCTGTAATCTTTCTTCTTGTTTCTTTTCTTTTTCCTCTAACAACTGCTGTAATCTCTCTTCTTGTTTATTTTGTTGTTCGAGCTGCCACTGTTGCAGGTTTTCTTGCAACTGCTGTTGTCTCTCTTCTTGTTTCTTTTCTTTTTCCTCTAACAACTACTGTAATTTCTCTTCTTGTTTCTTTTCTTTTTCCTCCAACAACTGCTGTAATCTCTCTTCTTGTTTAATTTCTTGTTCTTCTTGTTTCTTTTCTTTTTCCTCTAACAACTGCTGTAATCTCTCTTCTTGTTTAATGTCTCGTTCTTCTTGTTTATTTTGTTGTTCGAGTTGCCATTGTTGCAGGTTTTCTTTGCAACTAGTGTTGTCTCTCTTCTTGTTTCTTTTACTGTTCTTGTATTGCTGCCATCAAATCTGCTAAACTGTAGTTTGATTTGCCGCTTCTCGTTTCCATCTTCTCTTTTTCTTCTTTTTTCTTTTTTTATCCCACTTCTGACACCAATTTGTTACGTCTTCATTTGTTAATTGATTTTCCGTAACTTCGTTCCGACGAAACTTTAGCGACACAAGTCCTTACTTAATAAAACTGGTTTATTCTTTCTGAATATAACTTTACCGATACAGAACAGTCGCTCTTTTACAAACGTTTTAACAACGAACGTTAACTTCAACAACACTTCCGACTGCAGTTCAATTACTCACTACCTACACACACTATTGTCACGTTGTGAGC